ATCTCCTACTGATTCTCTGACTGCTGAGTGTAGTTCAATACCTCCCCCAAAATCCTGTAGAACCTGCTCTTAGTAGCACTTTTAGAGGTTTTGGTAGCTTCTCTCAAAATCAGATTGTACCTAACTTATTTTTCCCATGTAATGCCCAGCATATCCACTTGTGACTGGGATCCATATTTCTCTTTCATTAAAAGAAATGTATCTGGGATCATTCCCCAGAGGAAGTCCTTAGCTGTGCTAGCCAAAGTTGTGCAAACACTTGGCACAAGAGTGGACAGAACAGGTTTATTCTGAATTGACTGCTCTTCCATGACATTCTGCTGTACCATGGAGATCAGATTCTGAGATCAGTTTGAATGATTTGTTTTGCTAGTCTAATTTTAGCCAAAATTACATTTGTAGGAATGCAAAAACATTCAACTCTGGAAGCCTTTGACACTGTCAAAAGCTGCATGGTTTTGTGAAGTTGTTTTTTGGGTTTTTTTTTTTTACCTCTATAGGCAAAAACTTGTGCTCACTGGACAGAAGTTTCACTCCAGTTCTTCCTGCCAAGAAGAATGCAGGTAGAATTCCAGACACTCCAAGCTTTTGCTCAATGTTAGGAAGGGAGCAAGGGCAAAGTGTGTACACAGAGAAGGATCCCTACACTGCACATGGAAGAAGAGTTGTCTGCATTTTGATTGAGCAATCAAATTTGTGTGTGTTGTGCTCATAGCATGGGGGAAGTTTTTGGAGAAAACAGCCCTCCATTTTCCCAAGTGAATTATTATGGTCATATGTTTAGATTTATGCTGCTCTGTGTAACAGAATTAATGGCATAGAATTTAAGATGCATCTCTGGCTGACATGCCTTGTCAGAGGCACAGAGTCAATAAGTTTCCATCAGTTTGTGCCCTACCATATGTCCCAATATGGATGCCTCTCAATCTTACTGGTTTTTTTGGAACCAAAACTTTTCATGGTGAGAGTCCTCAGGGTTCACCTTGCCTCATGTTATCAGGTTAGACTGAAATAAAGCTTTTTCCTTGATACTTATCTTGAATTTCCCAAGCAACACAGACATGAATTTAAATGACTCATGCATTTACCCAGAACACGGACTGTGATTTCAGATTTTTTTTTACTAGGTTTATCATCTATTAAAAAGAACATACAAGGGAATTTTGTAAGTCCTGTTTAGCACAAGTTTAGTGGATGAATTTCTTAATTCTTGAAGGGTGGTCCTAAGATCCAGCAGAAAAGCCCTACTAGTTTTCTGCATTTGTTTACTCAGTTTTCAGAGAATTATCTACCATGACTCCTCACTGGTAATGTTTCATTTTAAGCTTATCATCATCTGTTTGTGTATAAAGGTAGGACTGTACTTTCCTTGTGAGCTTGACTTTGCATTTATTGAACAGAAATTTCATCATATGCTTTATGTCTCAATCAAAAGCCTTCTGCAACTCTTTGCAGTCAATTTAGTTTTAACAGCTGTGAAGAATATTATATCACTAGCAAACCTCGATATCTTACACACATCTCCACTTTCTGGATTTTTCAGGAGAATGCTGAAAAACAGCCGTGTAAGAACAATTCTCCCCGTGGTAATTTCTCTCTATTACAACAACTGAACAATTATTCCTACTCTTTCCTTCCCACCTAACTGCTGATCACTCATATTGTCTGTGAGAAAAAACTTCCTCTTATTCCTCCTCTTTCTGTACAGTTTAAGTTGTTTAAAATACTTTCATGGTTGTCCTCCAGCCTGACTGATTCCCACAGGTTGTGCCCACACTCCTGCACTGCTGGCCAGCCCTCTGGGCTCCCCTGCTTACCACAAGGGCATCAAAGACAGAACTTGGCTCTTTTTGGAGGCTTTTCCTTTTCTTTCTCCCCTAGCTAGATGACTTATGAGACAATTTTCCTTCACAACCCTCCTTCTAACATGATTAACACAACACATTTCTTGTTTGCTATTTTGTCAACTACTATATTTATCTTTTGTTTTAGTAGCATGTCAGTTTTTGGTGCCAGGCAACACACTTATATTGATACAAACAATAAAAGGCAGTAAAGTCTTTAGACATTTGCAGCTTGCTAAGCACAAAGAAGACAGGTGTATTCTGCTGCTGTAATTTAGCAGAGATTTGGCCTGGAAACACTTTACCTTCTCTCATGATCATTATTAGGATGCAGGAATAATTTGGACTTAAATTTTATCTAGTTTGAATCAACAAGTTTCTGCTGTACTTTTAATTATAGCTATCCTAGAAGTTTGTGCTCACACAGTTGATGAGAAGTAACACTTAACTCTATGGAGAGAGATTTCAAGAACTCTCAGTAGCTCTTGGGGCTCTTATTTGTTATGTGTGTGCCATATGCCTGCTCAAACACTTCATGGTGTGGGTCACAAGCAGGTTGTGCATCAAGCTGTGCAGTGCTGAGCTATAACACTGATCCAATCATGGAATATCTGTCCCAAAAGCAGAGCTGCTGATGAACAGATAGGGAAATGAGCATGTGCTGGAATAGCTGCATTGGATGTAAGAAAAGACTGAAGTAAGAATAGAAGATGCCATATTAAAGCTTGTCACAATATTGTTGTTAATGAGCTCAATTATCTGTGTTTGATTTTGCTGCTTTGCATGGCTATATTTCCCCAACCTTTTCTGTGAGATCTGTGAAGATCCCTTTTATTACTTTTACTGGTTTTAAGTATTTTAGTTGTTTTAGAATATCTTTTCTGAAGTTTATTTTGTTTCTAAATTTTACCTACCATATTTTCACTATGAAAAAGTAAATTGCTTTTGAAAAGGATCTCCATTTGTGTATTAGCCTGAGAACCTGCTGTTGGATTTAGATTCACCTGTCCTTAAAACAGCCTATAAATCAGCCTATAATATGGATCACATACAATCGAGTTGAGTGGTGTAATGACATTATCTGTAGTCTTAAAAATTGAAGTAAAACAATTCAAAGAATAAAGTTTCTTGATCTGATGCAGAGTCTGACAGATCTGACTCAGTGCTGAATAACTCTGGTTGGCAGGTACTTCTTCTGCTAATGCTTTTCTTCTTTAGCTGGATGATTGCAGAAGCATCTTTTGATCTGAATAGCCAAACAGATGTAAAATCAATGCCTGTTTTGTGGCCACTTCTATCTTGAAATAAGGAATCTTCAAATATTTGCTGTGTGGAATTCAGCTGCTCAAATGCCTACAGAATAAAATTCTCTGGCCAAGGTGTCATGAAGAAAGGAGTCCTACAAACATAAGAAATTTTATTACCTTTAAAGCATTGTATGAATTTAAATGTAGGAAAATGCCTTCCTCCAACTGCTGTCTTCAGGGCTAGTTTCCCAAAGTGCAAAAGAGATCTATATATTGGATTTGTCATCCTAAGAAGAATTACCTTTAGTCATTCATACAACCAAATTTTCTATTATTATTTTATCTATTTTTATAGAAAAAATATTTATAAAATTATCTATATTATTATCTATTCTTACTGTAACATAGATGTGTCTGTCATACGCTGATCATACACATTCATTGTTTATATACTCCAAAAACCCATGGGTAAATTTACCAACAGAGACAAGGTAACTCCCAGTTTACATGTTAGGGAATTCTTTCTGCTCATTTTCACCACCACTCCTTAAACCAACCTATGTAATAAGTTTGTGTTATGTTCTGAAAACAGGTGTCCTAGTTGAAAAATCTGTAGTTACCCTTCCATGTTATTATTACTAAATCACCTCTTACATTTCTCCCTTTTTCCATCAGTTATCTCTTAACTGACCTGGATTTTTCTTGTTCACCTCTATTTTATTTTTGGAGAAAAAGAAGAGATAGAATGAGAGGAAGACAACAGGGATAGAGCCATCAGTAGGAACAGCAGCCATTAGGCAATATCTGGAGAGCAGGGCAAGCATCTTTGATACTGGCCCTAAATACTGTCCCAGGTGCTAACAGCTCCAGGGACTTCTTGAACCTAATGCAGTTTATCTATTTTGTCTAGGCTGCAGTGGATCTTCCAAATGCTTATCCAGTCTCTCTCTTTTAATGTACCTCTGCTTGCTATGTTATTCATGAAACAAGTTCTTTTAAGCTTGGCTATGTATAATGACCTTAAATCATTGAAAATGGAGAGACGTCTCTCTTCAATCATGGGATTAAAAGGGCCACAGTTCTATCAGTCAGGGGAAAAACACTACAAATATCCAATTTGGATTCATGGCAAATTTGAGTAATTGTGAAGGATGTGCAGTTAGTTTTTCTTCAGTTTTTAGCTGAGAGATGACATCAAATGAGTCTGCTTATGAATATGTATCAACCATAATACAAACTCTTCTGCATAGGAAATTTGACTTTACTGTGTGTTAGGAGACAGTTTGCCTCTGTAATTATATTACCACTTAATACTGTGTAAAAATCCAATCTATACTAATTACACTCAACAAACAGATTGCTCAGTGTTATTATTACTGGAAAACGTACAAAACAAAAGACATTTTCTAATTTCTTGGTAGACAGTAGTAAGAAAATATCTTGTGGTTATCTGAGTCATACTGGAAATCAAATGTTCAATGCAGACAAACATAAAGTGTATTTCCTCACACATGTTTTCAGCCCTGTTTTTCTGGTAATGTGTTTTTCCTTGACATTCTGATTCAGTTGTAAAAGGGACAGCATAGCCTAAATACTGCAAAGGACCCTATGGGGTTTTCTTTATTTATGACATGTAGAAATCAAGGTCTGAATAGACATCTTCTATTTTCTCTTATCTTAATGACATTAATATTGAATGTGGATATTTTATAGTTTATTAAGAAGTTTATTCAGAGGTGTGTTGGTTCGCCTTTCTCTTTGTAGGACAATTATCTGAATTTATTGACATATACAGCTTTGCTCAACAGGCCAAGTCTGGATTTTTGGGCTGGGGGAGAGAGAGAGGCCACAGTCACCCATTTCTTTCCATTCACCAAACTGTTCATTGCAAATGGTAGAAGGGCCACAGCTACTCTGAGCCATCGTGCGTGTCTGAAGGAGCACCAGGGCCAGTTCTGCGCAATGGCTCCCGGGCAGTGCCGGTTGCAGGAGCTGGTTGGGCTGGGGTCCTGGAGGGCCCTGGAGCTGCTCCCTGCCCTTGGGATCTCCTGGTGCCTGTGGAATTTCTCCGGCCAGGCGCGGGCGTCTCAGTGGGCGGCCGCCTGCGCAGGTTGTAGCGGCGCTGCGGGCAGCGGCTGCGGGACCTCTCGGCGGCCATCCTCCTGCGCAGGTGGGTGGGCAGGCCCACCACAAACAGCTCGTAGTCGTCGTCGCCTCGCACCGAGTGCAGCACCTGCTCCAGGGCCTGCCGGCACACGGGGCAGTCCTCCCTGCCCCGGGCCCAGTGCTGGATGCACCTAAAGCAGAACTGGTGCATGCAGTAGGCCACAAAGGCCGGCTTCCTCACGGTGCCCAGGCAGATGGGGCACTCCGAGCCCACTGCTGCCTTCAGCGGCTCTGCCCTGGCAGCAGAGCCGCTCTCCCCCGTGCCTTCTTTGGCACCGCTCGCCATGTGCTGCCAAGAGAGACGTGGAAGGTAGTGGAAGTTGTGTGGCAGATGGGTTTGCTCGGGATGGTGAGCTGCTCCTTCTCATTAGCACTGCAACTGCGGATGTCAAGGAAGCAGAGGGTGAAAGGCCACGGTTGTTGGCTGGCCTGGGGACAGGTGGAAGAGATGCTCAGGTCCCCCTGGAAGGAAACCTTCCCAGCTTGTCAGGGTAAGGTTTTCCCTCCCAGACCACCTCCATGGCTATGAGACATCATAATCCTTCACTAGGTCTGTACTCACCAGCACCAAAATCCATCACTGTGAGATCACAATGGGCTGTCCCCAGCCACAGCTCACATGCCTGGGGCTTGTGCAGAACAGCTGCCCACTGCATCCCCCCTTTCCTTGTGCAAAGAAAGAAAGAAAGAAAGAAAGGCTATTTGCAGTCACTTTTGTGGGATGAAATGGTTTCTTTTTAGAAGATATATGGTTTCTTTTACTGATAGAAATCACCTTGGCTCCCTTTCCATTTTAAAAGTTAATCATGCTGGTATTTTGGTGGTGAAAATATAAATGAAGCCCCATTACAACCAAGTACATGCAGGGTCAGTAAATTCTTTCTGTTGGAAAACTAGTGAGATGAAAATGAGAATGTTAATAGACTATCCATCACATTGATGAAACTGTTGATTGAAATTCACCCTCACATATAACCTATTTGTAATTTCTCTGTAACAATGTGTATTAATGGGGTCTTGTTACTTTCTTATTCGTGTTAAAATGAATAGCAGGAAATATTTTAAATTCAAAACCTTTTTGCTACTGAGTTTCACAAGAGCAAACCTTAGCTCTTCTATAAAAATCAATTGCTTTATTGTCTGAATATAACTCAAAAATGTATTATATAGGAAAAACAAAGGATGCTTATTTACTCTGCTTGATGTTGTGCTTAGATGTGGATTTTCCATACCTAAAAAAGTCTGAACTAAATTTTTGTTACCAAACAGGAATCCATAGTATTTAAAGACAGGTCTAAAGAAGAATTTCAATAATGTTGTTTGAATTCTAATCTAAGACTGAATTCAATATGATTTTCCAGTTTGTCCCACTTTCTAGGTAACAATTATTCGTTTCAGTATGACTTTTACAAAGACCAAATAAAAAAAGAATTAATCTCTCCTTCATTCCTTCTTCAAAACACTATGCAAAATTAATTATACTGGTCCTTTGTTCTGACTTAACAAAAATATTAAGCATGGAAAAGCTAAATTGTCTGAGGCATGGATGTATATGTGGCTGTCATAAAACTTAATTGAGCCAAAGTTACAGTCAGATGGCTTTTGACTTAAGCTATGTAGCACCTTATTAGTTAGGTATTCTTTTTGCAAAATTTTAAATTATTTTAAATCCAAATCTCATATTTTCTTCCACTGTATCTCAAGGGTTCGGAAATACCCTGCTCATTTTTGCCATTTCAAAACCAAGTTCTTTGTTTTAATTTGCTGCTGCATGAAGAAAATATCCCTAATTATTGACAGTGAAAGCTAAGTCCTGCCAAAATGTCTTCTTTATTCATTATCTATTCCCATTTCAGTCTGGCCTTCAGTGTTTTCTTCTTTCAGCAGTGTTTCAGAAAGTAAACTCTGAAGAGAGTATCTCGATAGACAACAGTATCCAAATGAATAAGGAAGCCAAATGAATAATATTAGCTCCTCAGGTGGCATCACTGAAGAAACAAGAAAATTAACATGGATGATTTTGGACATTATCTCCCATGCAGAGCGGTGTGCTCTCCCCCTTCATTGCTCTGAACAACAGAAACATGAGGATGAAGAGAACAGCTTCTTGTTTTCTTGCCTTGCTGATCGATCCTGTAGCCAAATGGCCCAGAACAGGTGCTTGTTATAAAGCAGGCATCCAGACTTTCTCTGAGTCCTGTTGTTTTCTTCCCACAGGTAACAATGGGAAAGAAAAATCAAAGTTCACTAGACTAAATTTCTCAGTCTAGAAGTGCATAACACATAAAGTTAAAACAAGGGCAGACGGCAAATCTTCTGAAAGATCAATGCTCATATCTCTAACCAAACTGCATGGTGGCTGTGTCAGGCATTACAAACAGCACTGGATTTTTCTAACAGCTGTTTGTGCTATGGAATTAAATCTGGCATTCTGTACTGCCACAGTAGGGCAGTTAGGGAGTGATCTTCTATTGACTTCACACTCAAATGAGCTGAATTTTTTTATAAATCACCACGATCTTGGTATGCAGAGCATGCATAAGAAAGATCTGAGATTCAAGGCATTAGAGGAATGTTATAAAGATCGATTGGAAACAGTGATTAACTACTTAGTGCATCATAAAGCAGCATTTCCTCATTCTTTAAGAGGGCAATACATGGTTATAGGTCACAAAGCAAAAATGATTCTTCATTTGTAAAGTTTCACAGGCGACATTCTCAGTCATTTAAAATACACTACTTTTTACACTTATGGTAAGATCAACTCCATGCACTTTTTATACCCTGAAGAAGCAATAACTTACTTCTGTTTGTTGGCAGATGTTTAGCAGAGGGTGAGAACTCCAACAGGAGCTATTGGATGACTACATGTGCTGTGAGTCTGATTTTGTAGATCTCAGCAGTCAATGACATCTTGTACTGCTGCATCCTTGCTTAAATTGTACTGTGTAGCAAAATATCAGCAAATGGCCCAGCTGACAAAATGTCAGTCATAAACCTCAGCATTTTGCACCTGGCTATGGAACAATCTGCAGTAATGGCACAGTCAACAAAATTGTTTACTGAACTTGCACCCTGCTGCTAATGACTGACATAAATAACTGGTCAGTACACCTGACACGAGGAGCTTATCTGAGCAGACAGCTTGTGTTCTACTTTTTGAGTTGAAAATTTAGCTATTGTGTCAAAAATCATTAATTTGATAAAAACATAGAATGTTTCCTCCATCCCCAGAATTAGTATTTTAGAGGAGCTAATTTGGTCTGATATGCTGCCACTCTTAGGATTCCTGCCAACAAAATAAAAACAGGACAGGTATGGAGACAGTGAAGTGTAGATCTTGTGTCTAGAGAAATACACTGCAGGAACTCATGAATTCTAAAAGTGGGGCTGACCCAAAAAGACTGCAATCAAACAAATCTGCGTTCAGACAACTGGCAACTTCAGTTTGAGGACTGTAACTCTAGAGAAGGTTTAAGCCTTTCTTGAGTGAAGCCTAGCTGCACCAGCAGATGCCTTAGAAAGCTGAGATTTTTCTGGGATTGAATGATCAGGGATCAGAAAAAGAATCACAAATGTGACAGAAAGCTGACCACCAAGTGAATATGCAAAAAACCACAGTACAGCTGACTGGATGAAATTGCAGAAAGCTGTCTTGCCACAAAGCAGCTGTTGCCAAATTTCAACTTGCAGATGCAGGACTGTTTGAAACAAACTGGAAACATTTTAATTGATTTTGAATGTGTTGTATGACAACAGATAATATTCAGAAGCAGGATGTTATGTGTTAAATAAAAATAAAAATGGAGTTCTCCTCCATAAAATCAGAATTTGATTCGTTAAGTCTATTTACAATTTTTATTTTTTATTTTCCTCTGCTCTGAGAAATAATTGGTTGGCTTACTATCTTCCAGTTGGAAACTCAGTCTAAACACACCCTATAATTTTCTCTTTCCTTTACATCACTGGTACCATTCTATACAATTCCTCCTGTTTGTTTAGGGTGTGAGCCTTTACAATATATTTGAAACGTTATAATGAAATAAGCACCCTGGTCACCACTTAAATAAACCAGATTTCAATTGCTTGGTTATCCATGCCGACACCAAGCTAATAGCTTTTGTTCTCTTTTCTCAGACTGCATACATCTTTGGTATTTGAAGTACTAAGAATAATACTAGTTCAGCTCAAATTCCCAACAAACTTGCAGAGACAGGCAGTATGTTTTCTCCTACATGATGTGCTCCTGCATAAACAGACCTTGTCTTTTTTGTCACATTTATAAATGGCCTTAAAGTGGTCACCACAATCACCTTCATGATCTTTTCTGCAGAGTTTTCTATTTCTTTCTATTGTTCTTTCATTAACTCTTCCCTTGCCGTCTCATTTAGGATAAATCTTGCCCAATTTTAGTTCCTCATATTCTAAAATCCAAATATCTTTCATTTTGTTCTATCTTGCCTTCTAAGTACAGTTCATAACTAGCTGATATCTGCTGCAGATTTCATTCTTTTGGGGTTTTTTCTTTCTTCTTTCCCTGTTGCCATTGGAAGGTCAAAACCCATTGGAATTAAGATCTCCTCATTTAAGCCCTTTTGTCCCAATAAATATATTTGCATTTATCATTACTTTTACACTTCTCAGGGCTCAAAAACTCAAGTGTTCAATACTTCTTCCCAGGAAGACTGTTTGGGACCACCCTAAACCAAGACTGAATGTTCCTCTGTGAATACAATGTGCTTAATCACCGCACTTGATCAAGGGTTGATTGTTTAGATTGCTCCATATCATGGTTTAGGAATGGTATTCCCCAGTTTAGAAAACTCAGAAAAGAAAAATGTAAACATATTTTCTATCCAATGTTTTTAGGTATTATGCCTATGAATTTTCTTTTCCCGCACCCAGTTGCTCTCCCACAAAGACACAAATTTGCCTGAAGTTTCTTTACAAACTCACTTTCTTGATACTCAGAGAGGAAAAAAATCTGTGGTAAAGCTCTGCCACAGACTGCTTATTAATTGTGGACTAGCCAGTTGATTAGTTTGTACCACCTACTAAAGAAAGATAAAAGTCTCATCATCGCCTCATTCACACATCTATTTAGGTTATAAATCCAATAAACAGGACTTTCTCTTACCATCTTGTTTAGCAAAAAGAAGAAACCCAGGCCTACCAAAAAACCAAAACATACCATTGGCATAATTTCCCCACTAAAAAAACAAAAAAAGAGTCCTCTCTTTTTAGGGGATAGTGCATATTAATGCAAGTGCAATTATGATAATTCTC